TTACATTCAGATGCTTGGCAACTGATTCATATTTATGACGGTCACAGTGTCCCAGGGTCATGTGAAGTGACCAAAACCTGCTGCAACCACCCAGCAGACGGGGGGAATAAAAACCAACCCACCCCCGCTGCCAATCCTCAACAGAAATGCTCACAGCAATGAAAACCTCGGACAGAAGGAAGAGCGCGGCCGGGCGGGCAGGCAGGTGTCTTGCTCGGCTGTGGCTTGGGGGGCACTTTTTTCAGTGCCATTGTAACTTTGCAGTCACTAAGCGAACTGTTGTAAGTCGAGGACTACCTGTACTTTATCACTGTTTTCCTTTTTTTTTTCTTTTGGTCATCAAGTTTTTGACACCTTGCTGGGTGACTGGTGGTACTCGGATACTGCCATATCCTAAAAGTGGTACAATGGGTGAAAAGGTTGAAAAGCCCTGTCATAGGGGACAAGGGACCACCCGCAGACATGATGAAAGTAGCCACCATATCCCCAGGGAGCCACTTGTCCCCAGTGAATACAGAGACTTGGCAGAGGTGTTCAGTGAAAAGGAATGTAATGACTGTGCCATTGCGATTTTACCTGGGGCTAAGCTGCCAAAGCCGAAAATGTATGCAATGATCCCCCTTGAAGTGGAGGAACTACGCCAATATATTGATAAGAATGTAGCCAGGTGTTTCATTGAGCCAGCCAAATCCCAAGTAGCTGCTCCTGTGTTGTTCAAGGAAAAGAAAGATGGGTCTCTTAGGCTCTGCATGGATTTTAAGGGGATTAATGCTGTGAGTGTGGAGAACATGTACCCACTCCCACCCATGAAGGTTCTATTGTCACATTTGGCAAAGGGAAAGATTTTCACAAAGTTGGACTTGAGAGAAGCGTATTACCATGTTAGAATAAAAGAAGGGGATGAATGGAAGACTGCTTTCAATAGTCCCCTGGGTGCTACCAGTTCAAAGTTATGCCGTTCGAATTGCAAGAGGCTCCTGCAGTGTTCATGTAACTGATCAACCAGGTGCTACATGAACATTTGTATAAAGGCATTTTGGTGTATCTTGATGATATCCTAATCTACACGATAACTGTGACAGAACATGTGGGCTTAATACGGGATGTTTTTAAAAAGCTGCTGGATGGTAAGCTCTATGTCAAACTGTCAAAGTGTGAATTTCATCAAACGCGTCTGAATTACTTAGACTACAGAATCTCTAGTGAAGGCATTGAAATGGATCCAGCTAAAGTAAAAGCTGTTATTGAATGGCAACCTCCAAAAACCCGAAAGAAACTACAGAGTTTCTTGGATTTGCCAACTTTTACCACCAATTCATCCCTTCTTTTGCTGAGATTGCCTTGCCCCTTACAGATTTGTTAAAAACTGGCAAGAACGAAAGCAAACTGTGACCTGGCCAGCCACTGCAGTGGACTGTGGAATGTCAAACTGCTTTTGAGAATTTGAAAAGACTGTTTGCCGTTGAACCCATCCTAAAACACCCTCACCTCAAGGAACCCTTCGTGATTCAGGCTGACGCTAGTGATGTGGCCGTGGGGACGGTGTTGTTGCAAAGAAACTGTGATGGACTTTTACAACCTTGTGCTTACACTTCAAAGAAGTTCACTGAAGCAGAGCACTGATGGGCTATTTGGGAGAAAGAAGCTTTTGCCATTTGGTGGGCTTTACTCACGTGGTGCCATTTCCTGGAGGGGAGCAAAGTGCCTTTTGAAGTATGGACTGATCACAAAACCTTAGAGGCATTGAAAACTCCCCACAAGCTCTCCCCTAAGCAAGTTCATTGGGCACAGTACTTTAATTGGTTTCAGTTTCAACCTTCGGTATATACCAGGTGGAAAAAATTTCCTGGTTGATGCCCTATCCAGATTACCGCAATACAAAAGCCAATGCGAACTGATTGTGGACTCTATCATGTCAGCACCACAGCTTGTTTCCCAGGTGACTCCACGAGACCCACATCCTACTGCCTCTTCTAAACCTGATAATCCTCTTGTTACGAAACTAAAACAAGAACTGATCAAGGACCAATGGCTCAAAAACCAGCAAGCTATCCTGACCCACGAGGATGGGTTGACTTGGAAAGGAGGGAAGTTATACTTGCCTGAATCTCTCTATGTGCAAGCACTCCAGCGAAGCCACGATGTAAAGCAAGCTGGTCACTTTGGCTATTTGAAAACCTTGCATTTGATACGGAGGCAGTTTTGGTGGCCAGGACTAAAGGAGGATGTAGAGAACTATGTATAAAGCTGCGCAGTGTGTGCTACGATGAAAAGAATTCTAGGAAAACCTCCTGGACTATTGCAGCCTGTTGCTGACCCTTCCCTACCATGGGAAGAAATTGCTATGGATTTTATTGTCAAATTACCTCAAAGTAGGGGAAATACGGTAATATGGACTGTAATTTATCTCTTTTCAAAACAGGCTCATTTCATTGCCTGCCCAGGTCTCCCTTCAGCACAGAAACTAGCTAAACTGTTCCTTAAACATATTTATCGACTGCATGGCGTTCCAAAGAGAATAATCTCCGACGGGGGTGCAGTTCATGGGCAAATTCTGGAGGAGTTTTCTGAAACTGATTGGTTCTTCACAAGGATTGTCATCGACTTTTCAGTCATCTATGAATGGGGCAGCTGAAAAGGTGAACTCAATGGTGGAGCAATACCTTAGGTGTTATGTGGATTACCAGCAAACGAACTGGACTGATCTCTTGCCTTTCGCCGAAGTGGCTTACAACAACATTGTCCACAGTAGCACGAGACTTACACCGTTTAAGGTTGTCACCAGGAGGGATTTTGTCCCAATACCTGAATACCCTCATGAACCACCTGCCATTCAGACTTTAGATTAATGGATGTCTTCATGGAAGGGAATTTGGGATAATGCAAAGAAAGCTTTGGAAAATGCCTTAAAAATGTATAAAAAAACAAGCTGACAGGAAAAGGGCTCCTCACCAACAATTCCGGGTGGGGGAAAAAGTTTATCTATTGACAAAATATTTGAGACTCAGTTTACCAGCAGGAAATTGGGACCGAAATTCCTGGGACCTTTTCCCATCGTAAGCGTTTTGAATCCAGTGACTGTAAGGTTAAAGCTTCCTTATCTTTTGGGCAAGATTCATCCCATTTTTCACTGTAGTTTACTGAAGCCTTATAGAGAGTCGACTTTGAGACTCCCTCCAAAGAAATCCCCTGGAAGTGAAGCAGGATTTTAGACGCTCAACTGTATAAGGGAAAATTGCAGTATTTAGTACAATGGAAGGGTTATCCATTATCAGATGCTTTTGTTTTTCTTTGTAACTTTCCACTCTATAACTGGGGTTTTCCTCATAGACAGACAAAGAGGGGAGGGAGAAGTATGAGCATTCTTAGTCATAACAATTGCAGCCACGGTTATAATCAAGATCAATGTGAATGAAGAATTTTGGCAGTAGAAGGGTGGGAGAGAAAAGCCTGCATTTTTTTTGTAATTGGGGAATGTGATGTTTGACAGCTTGGTTTGGGGTGGGAATTGCAATTTGTAACTTCGTATCAGGGGAGGAAACTTTCAGTTTTGGGTTCAACTATGTAAGTGCCGATATTTTATTTCGGAATAAAATGTTCTTTAAGGCCGAATTTCTTGCCTTGAAGTTCTTTTGACTGGTTTCATCTATTGGAACCATGACATTATGATTATGTTCTATTGTTTGTGTTTGCATTATGTTGAATTCCAGTATGATGTGGTCATTCTCGCCCAAAGTTCTTGTTAGTAAGAATTAGATCCAGTATAGCTGTCCCTCTAGTTTCCTTCTCTACCTTTTAGATGACAAAGTTGTCTGCTAGATTGGTCAGGAACCTGCTTGATCTCCCACTTGATGCAGAGTTTGTCTCCCTGTTGATGTCAGAGTAGTTAAAGTCCCCCATTACTAATGTGGTGTGTTTCCTACACATATATATTTTGCTAACTGATCAGCAAAAACCTCATCTATTTCTTGTGCTTGGTTGAGTGGCCTGTAGTATACACCTATGGCAATGTCATTCCTTTTTCCTTTTATATCGACCCATAAGCATTCTAGGTGGTTTTCATCCTTGTTTTTGTGCATTTCTGTAGAGATGTAGTGATCTCTTACATATAATGCAACTCCACCTCCTCTTTTGTTAGGTCTGTTTCTTTTGAATATTTTGTATCCTTCCATCAGTAAATTCCAGTCATGAGTTTCACTCCACCAAGTTTCGGTAATGGCAACTATATCATATCTGCCCTCGTGTACTAGTTTGTTCCCCAAACTTTGAGCATTGGTATATAGGCATCTGAATCCTTTATAGCTGTCCCTGGGTATGCTTTCTAGTTTTTCTTCCTTCCCATCCTTCTCTACCTCCTTGTTTGATTGGTTGTCTTGGGATTTATGCTTGGGATTAGGTCCTAAAGATTTGTCATCCTCCCCCTCAGTTTTAGTTTAAAGCCCTTCAGATAAGTCTAGCCAGTCTTTTTTGGTTCATTGCTATTACTTGAAAGGGAGATATATTTCTAATCAGACACCAGAATGGCATAGTAGTTCAAGCTGGATGAGCTCCATACTTTGCAATTAGTTTTGCACTGATTCTCAAATACAGATTCTAAGCTTATTGCTCCTGTGCAGGAATTAGATACAGCTAAATTTGCTATCCTGGGTTGGAACTTTTGTATCTTTGGGACTACTGGATATGTCAAGCAATTGAATTCTTTTTGAATCCAGCCTCCAAATTCCTTGCCTAGAAGCAATTTGGCCCATAGTCCATTTTAATTAGTCTGTGACAAAAATCCTCTTTGTAATCTTTTGGTCAGTAAAGTGTAAATTCAAATCCTGGTGGCTTCACAAGGCTGGAATCTGCTATGAGTAGGCCCAGAACAGCAGAGTCTCTTCATCTGGTCTCCACAAAGTATGATGGAGGCACCCAGAATGTCTCTCTAATAAAACTGTTATCTGGAATGTTTCTGATAACCATAGGCTTCATATCAATTGGAAATCAATTTTTCTCCACAGGTGTTGGGAGTTGTGATAGGAGCTGGGCTTTCGGTGTTGCTTGTTTCTGCTTTGGTACTGATATTGATCCACCGATTTCATCTTCAGAGTAAGTTCTCTTTTAATGATGAAGAGAAGCCATGTCCCACAGGATATCTTTTTATTTAGTTTAATCTGGTCCTATCCTGCTGGATTCCTAGTCTCTTTTTTTACTTCCCTACAGAGGTTCAGGCTCAAGAGCAACCAAAATATCGATTTCGCAAGCGGGATAAAGTATTATTTTATGGACGGAAGATTATGCGTAAGGTAATAAAAAAATCAGAGTACCAAGAATGAGCATGTAAATGATATGCCCAACTACTTTGAAGGGCACACTGCGTGATGCAGTCTTTCGGGAGCAGATTTTATATATCAGGCTCTTTGGAATTTGAATTTGACAGCAGTGCACTCTTGTTTGTTTAGAAAAAGTATCCTTTTTTAATCCTGGACAAGGACCATTTTTTCACCATTGGTGTTTGTCTTATAGCTACTAAATTACCTTCAAAAAGGAAGAATACCGTATTTTCCGGCGTATAAGATGACTTTCTAAACCCTAAAAATCTTCTCAAAAGTCGGGGGTCGTCTTATACGCCCAGTCGTCTTATACGCCGGAAAATACGGGTATTCAGGCAGGCTTCCAGAGTTCGGCTGGCAGGATGCAGGTAACCCCTCCCCCCGTCCTGCCGCCTCCCACCGCGCCGCTCCGCGTCCCGCGCCTCCGTGTCTCAAGCCTCTGTGTTATGCTTGGGTGGAAGACTTTTTCTTTTACAGATGGGGCGGGTGGGCCTGACATTCGCGTGTAGGCAGGACCCCGCCTGCTGAGCCACCGCTTCCCCATCGCCCTCCACGCCAGCCGTCTCCGTCTCCAGACCTCCCAGCTGACGGGCGCAGGTCCGGGGGTCACCAGCTGATGGGCGCAGGAGTTCGGCGCTGCAGCGGCCTCCGCTTCGCCCTCCGCACCGGCCAAAGCGTTGCCTGACGTTCCGGCTGACAGGCACAGGTCCGGGGATCGCCAGCTGACGGGCGCAGGAGGTAGGCGCCGCCGCGGCCTCCCAGCCGCTTGCTTCTTCGGCCCTAACCCTTGCAACTGCTCCAACCGAAGAAGCAAGCGGTTGGGAGGCCGCGGTGGCGCCTACCTCCTGCGCCCGTCAGCTGGCGACCCCCGGACCTGCGCCTATCAGCTAGAACGTCAGGCAACGCTTTGGCCGGTGCGGAGGGTGAAGGGGAGGACGCTGCAGCGCCGAACTACTGCGCCCGTCAGCTGGCGACCCCCAGACCTGCGCCTGTCAGCTGGGAGGTCTGGAGACGGAGCCGGCTGGCGTGGAGGGCGATGGGGAAGCGGTGGGGTCCTGCCTGCGCGCGAATGTCAGGCCCACCCGCCCCATCTGTAAAAGAAAAAGTCTTCCGCCCAAGCATAACCTTTAAGGATTTTAAGGATCTTTGAGAGGGAGAGAGAAATAGAGAGAGGGAGAGAGAGAAAGTGAAGAGGGAGAAAGGGAGAGAGAAAGAGGGAGACAGGGAGAGAGAGAGAGAGAAAGAAGGAGGGAGAGGGAGAGAGAAAAAGAAAGGGTGACAGGGAGAGAAAGGGAGAGAGAAAGAGAGAGGGAGAAAGAAAGAGAGAGGGAAAGAGAAAGGGAGAGAGAAAGAAAGAGAGGGAGAGAGAGAAAGAAAGAAGGAGAGAGATTAAATTAGTAACATGGCTGTTCAGTGAATCTGGTTTCCCCACTAACTTTGCTTGTCACAAGGTTGCAAAAGGTGATCACATGACCCTGGAACAATGTGATCATCATAAATAAGAATCGGTTGCCAAGCATC